GTTGCCAGTGACAAGCTGCAGAATGTTGAGATTCCTGGCCATTCATTAGTGGTCTGAAGAAGCCATTGGTGACCTGTGCTAGCCATTCTCCAAATGTTCTCATGTTAGGGTGTAAAATGAGACTGATACGTGATCAGGACACCCGTGAAGAGGAATTTATTGGCTGTTGCCCAAATGATGTCAGGAGTGGAGGCAATAGGTGTGAATTGTATTATAGCCATAATTAAGACCCTGCAGCCAATACCCTTGCATCATCTAAGTTAGTGATTGGAAGTCTTTGATTTAGCTGGGCGTTCAGTAACAGTGCAGTAGCCAGGATTTTTGCTTCAAAGATGCAATCTTAAAGTTGACAGTTTTGGTTTGGAATTGGCAGTGTTTACTTGTGATAAACTTTACATGCTTGAATGAAACTACCTAACACTTCGTGAAAATCCCATGCAAAAGGTTGCCGTGGCCCTTTGAGTAATGATTTGCATCTTTATACTGTGTATTCATCAAAAACAATTTGAAACAACAAGGTAGGAAATATTGACAAAAAAATCCCTGGTAGAATAATTGCCTCCCTTTCATTTGAATATGTTTTGTTGATGTTGTTCCCTAAGAGAAACTAATCCATGTCGGCACTGTTTAAAAGCAAGATATGCCAAGTGTAACATAATTTATGTACATGTAAAATAATGTGATTGTTTAAGAGTGTTTAAGATTTTCCAACATGTACTTTTCTATGCAGGAAAAAAAAAAAGTTAACTGTTATGCGAATTTAGTGCAATTTCCAATTCAGTGTTTGTGGTTTCCCTTGAAGTGTAAACCAATGCTGGAATTACATTCCCCATCATGAAGGTTAAATTCCCAAGCCAAGAAAAACCTCCTAAATGGATTATCCTGACTGAAGCCCTCGTAATTTTAAATTTTTTCCTTAAAAAAACTTATCAGAGCAGATGTAGTGCTCAGATATTTACACCTAAGTTGTTGCAGAGCTGTACTTTGGAACCCAAAATTTAATGGCTGTTCTTCATGTACAGCATGTAGCTGTAATGTGCTATTTGTCCATGTGCACTGATGCTTAATCACCAAAGATCGTATAGCGCCGAAAGCGCTGCCCAAAAGACGTAATTACCATGGGCGCCATTTGAGGAAGCGATACGCCTGCGCAGTTTACGGTAATGCTTGGGCGCAGGCTCATTAGGTGCGCGTGCCCTGCGCCTGTGCATTAATTTGCATTGCGCAGGCGTATCGCTTGCTTAAATGGCGCCCATGCGATTACAACGTTTTACGTGCATTCACGGTGAAGTTCGCCATCTTGCGCCGCTTCGCGGCGCGATACGATCTTTGTTAATTACCACTTTGGTTCCAACAATAAGCCTTTTGCGAGTTAAATTTGAATAGAATTTGGTACACTGAGTTCTTTTAAATTCACGTGAACATAACAATTGGAATTCTCCATACTAAAGCCACTGTTGCTATACCTTCTGATTCGGAACAAGCTTTTCCTTAGTTACGTAAGAGACGCCTTGCAACAATACACTCTTCTCAATGGAAAAGAAGGGCACAAAGGAACCAGTCCATTCCAGAGATGGTGGTCGCGAAGCAAAAGCTTGACCCAAATCACGAGGAATAGCAACAGTGTCTTTAGTCTGGGGAATTCAAATTGTTATGTCTATGTGCAATCAGATAACTCAGTATACCAGGTTTTATTCAAATTTAACTCGTAAATGGCTTAGGCCGTATTCCAGTACTCAATTCGGCTCTGCCTCAGGCTTCAACTATTTTTTCACTAGCTGACTTTGAAGCTGTAAGCGCAGTAATCAGTCTAATAGTGCCACAGAACATCAAATAAGATGCGAGAAAGCCAAAAATTACAGTAATGCAATGTAATTCAAACGCTTCAGGCCCACAATCGGGGATTGGTTTTGGGAACGACGCCTGAGACGGAGAAGAAGTTAAGTATTGGAAAACGGCCTTATTGAGACACCTATGTTGCAACTCTCTAGACAGCTCTGAATTGCTGCTACGGACAGCGCCACCAAACGTCTGATGGTTTCCAGTCCTCCACCCACAACCATGTCTCCCAGCCCCAACCCATTCCCCACAGGCTTTTCGAAATTTTCATCGTACTGTAATACAATGAGACCATAATCTTGGCAATAGAAAAACACAAATACGTGCAAAGGATTCGCCGTCACAACGTCATCGCAAAAAGAGATACCAATCATGACAGACGTCTTGTCAACAAGGACGTTTCTGTAAAAAGGAAACCATGCAATTTTTATACATGTATTTAAACTTGAGAACAGAAAACCTATGTATGTCGAGCGCTGTCCGATTCCTGGTCCACTTCTGGCTTCGAACTCTAAACACCTGGCACATTTGAACTGTTATATGATTATACCCCCATCTCTCCAATATACCTGTCGGGACACATTTAATCCCTGCCGATTAAAGAGTCTGTTGGAAGTTGTTCAGATATTCAGATGTTCGGATCCTCTGACACTGGCGTATCCAGGTTTTGAGTTTGGGGAGCTAAGTGGGATTTTTTTAAACCAATGTTCATTTTTATCCATGTAAAGAGATGTCCCTCGGAAAGGTGGAAGTAGCGTTTCGAAAGTTTGGCTCTTTCAAGTGCTGAAAAAAATTGCCCGTGTGTCTTGGGGAGGGACAGCTCCACCCCCCTCTCCCACTGGATACGCCACTGCCCAAACACTGTCTTTGACAATTTTTTCTGGGAAGAAATCCCATACACAGTATAACTTGAGTAATGATTTCATTTCACTCTTAACCAAGCTATTTGGAGCTGGCTCGCCTGAGGCATCAACATGGTGAAGTTAACCACCCGTATTTGCACCCAAACATCCATGCACGTACAATAGTGTCACCGACTTTTCGAATTACCAGCTGGGGAACATTCCACCCTATCAACCCCAAACAACAGTGCCCAGCCCATCACTCTCACTAGTTATTGTTTACGGTGCTGGTGTTTTTATAACAAGGCCGTACATTGCACCACGTACATGTACAGTGTACATGTTCTTCCATTCTATAAGCTGGCACAGCTGTCACCTTTCCCACTGTATCTGCGGGAAATAAAGCGGAATTGTTTCGTGTTGTCTACTCTTTGAAGTTCGGTCGATTGTGCGCTGTGCAAGATCGATTGTATCGCGAAAAAACGTGCTTAATCACTAACTACTGTATTCAAGTACACTTTAACGTTGTGGTTTCTCCTTATGACGTGGCATAATATGTCGGATTTGGAGAAAAGCAACGCAATGGCACCTTCCAAGTTGGAACACTGATATCTAAAATTTCAAGCTGCACCAATTTCTAATATATTCAGAGAATTGACGCCTGCAAACATTTCAGACTGAAGCTTTCGCCCAAGATGACATCAGAATTTAGTGATGCCATCTCTGAATATTTTGCGCAATATAAAAACCCAATAGGACCCTCTAAAAAGGGACCTTTGAAATTTGCCTAGAATGAAAAGTATAGAATTACACCAAAAGTTGTAATGTAGGAAAAAATACTTGGAATCTTGGAGTCCGTTAAGTTTGTGTGAGAGTATCCGCGACCTTCAAAACACCGGACGCCAGGCTACCAAATTGGCACTTAACACATGACCATGAATACACACTGTGAATGTTAAATACAGAAGATATTACCAGCTAATTTCTTCATTGTCAAGCTTGTCTAGAATATTTGGTTCTCAAATTCATGTAGTGTCCTGCAATGAAACTTTCCGCATTGTTCTTTGTCGGCCGCCCTGCCACCTTTCCTGGTTTCAATTCGATCGTTTTTGCACTGTTCCTCGGCAGTCAAGTGGTAATCGATTCCGCATCGACATCCGGAAACAACACAAGTGGTTTATACCGCTAGTCTGCTCGGATCAATTTTCGACTTTCCTGCTGTTTGAAAACAATAAATTACACTGCCCATCAGCTCCGTGACTTTTGGCCACACTTTGACTTAGGTCGAGTCCAAGATTACTTGTATAATATACGAACAAGAACGCACTAATCAATGGTGCAGGGATCGATATATGTTCTTGTGATTATCCATGTTGGCAAACTTTAAATCAAAATTTGTTTGAAGGTATGTGTCTTTTCACGTCCAAAAGTTGTTCTCCAGGGCACCCTTTGTTGCACGCCTAGGTCTGCTTCAAAATGATATAACCGAATAATCACGGCGCTAGGGATGCATCGGAGTTTGGCACTGACCACCCGAACTGGTACACGGTACCAATGATGAAGTTTGCGTGGAAATGTTTCAATCGAAAACCGTATACTATCAAAACTGAAAATACTGTTTGAATAGAGAGGTCCAAATACCTGCACTGCACTGGCGAGCTTTGGAAAACTTGGATCTTTGAGGTTCATCTTTGGGACTTGAGGCGGCATGGAGTCCATCTTGATAGAGAGTGCTGAGATCCTTCGAAAGTTCACGGCGTCGTGGAACTACATCCTGGGTTCGAGGTGAGATGGAATCAGGCAGATGATTGACTGAGAACAAAGAGATACATGAATCATTTGATAGGCTGACGTATATTTGCAAACATGGAAACGAGAAAAAAGTTAAAAGATTCACTCGTAATTTCTTTCTTGGAATGACGAGTTTAGAATGCTAATGATACTGTGAACGATTTTTCTGAAATGTCGAGAATCAACATAGGCCTATGTACGTCTAGAAGCCTTGGTTTGCAAAATGTTTTAAGAAAGAAATGTGACTTCTGAGTCAGATTTTTTTCCAATGTGTTTCCAACCTATCTTTATTCAACTTGCACTATTCAACTTGCACTACAGCTACAAGTTAAGACGCGAAAGGTCCCTCGGGGATTTTCGAAGGAATGAAGATATCACGTTCGGCGCGAGGGAAGACGTCTCCCCGATAACCGAGCAAGACGAATTTTATTATTCGCACGACAAAGACCTTGCAAAATCTGCTCGGGACTACGAACAAGAGTGTCAGCGGAGAAAATCTGATGTTAGACACGATGCGTCTACAACACAGCCTGAGACCACGAAGACTGCTTGTGGAGAAAAGAGGAAGAAAAGGCAAAAATCTTGTGTGTATTATGGCGAGATGTCTGGTTGCAATCTAACGATGGATGTGATTGGATGTCTTCCTGACAACATTCAACAGGTTTGTATACGCTCAATTAGTAACATCAACACGGATGACCTGTTACTGGTTCATGGAAGGTTCATTCCATGTGTATTAATCAAATGTTGCCATTTTCTAGCTGGTTTTTAATACTTAAATTTTCAATCTCATTTGCAGGCCATAAAGAGTTTCTCTATCAAAAAGGAAACCGAACATCTTACTTTGTCGTTTCCATTTATGACGGAGATCTTGAGGAAAACATGTTCCCTTGGGAAAGGCGCAGCAGGTCGTTATGTGACACCCATGATTCTCTGCAACCACAGCTTGAAACTGACCAATTATCACCAGGCAATAGTGACCCTCGCTCCCGATTATCAGAGGTGAAGATTGTTTTCCATCGTATGCAGCTAGTGGGCCTGTCGTTTCGGCAGTGGCGCCATGGCTTGACTGGGGTAGAACTTTTGGGGCACTTGGGTATACATGCATCACTCATTTTGCACGAGGCCCTGAAAGCATTACACGGGAACTGCGGGTTGTATAATTTTTGTTAATATCTAAATTTCAAAAGGGGACACCTTTCAAGCATCTGCTGGGGGAGGGGGAGTTACATACCCCTGTTGCCTAAAGCCTACCACACGCCACTGCTTGCTGGTGTTACCGTTGTTTTCTGTACCGTACTATCATTTGTATCAGTGTTACATGTATGCATTCAACATTCTTCACTTCCACATTTTACCCAGGTCAACTCTTTGTGTGGTTCAGTTTACCATCTGTCGCAGTTATACCAGAGAAGGACTACATCAACACTACACTCAGCTACTCTCCTCAGTGTTGAAGGATTTCACAAAGATGCGGTGCTTTCGTTTTCCCGTGGGTTAAAATGAATCCTATACGTTGTTTCCCTTTTTGGCTACACCCTCCATTTAAAACTGTTCATATCCGTCGTTTTAATTTATACAAACAATATAAAATAATGCAAAATTGCCACAACAATATTCGACATCGCGGAATTATATTTGTCGAATCTTTTTCATTTTCCTTTCATATACCTACCTATCATTAAGCAGCAGTTAGTGGTTCTAGACGACACAGATCCAATGATGATAGGATCTCTGTGCGCCAAGATAAAAACCTCACTGTGCCCTCCGATAACTGGGGAGAACAGTAACTGCTACGCCCACCGGATGCATGAAACTTCGGTAAGTCTTTTTTTGCCGTACCTGACTAAAACCGACGGGCAAAAAGAGATGCAGCTATTTTTTCCTGAATAAAAAGCACTGGCAAACAGATAAATCGTTTTTTTAACTTTCTGTTCACAGCAGAACGCCGAGTTCCTGGTGTCGGGACTTAACAGGGAAATCTTCAACCAAGCTGTTAATGAGACGTTGTATCTCCTTACAGACCAAGATCGAGACCGGTTTTTAGTATCGATTAAACATCTTCTTTCCGAGAAATGCCCGAGACAGGAGTTTAAGAAAACAGAAAAACTCCTTGGGGTAAGTATTATAACATCAAAATCCGTTTTGATGATCGCGAAAGTTCGATGTAGGCCTATAGATTTATAGTTAATTTTTCGAAAAGGGCTGTAAGAGATGCATAATTTTCGGTCATATAAAGAACATTTTTTTCAGACCCCCTCGAAAATGCTGATTAATAATAATTTATGAAACTCTAAATTCTGATGGCGACATCCAGCACCGTTGTTCGAATAGATCTGTTGCCACAGTTACAATATCAAAAATGAAATTAAAAAGAGTGAAATTTGTTCCCAAAAGAACACTCTTTAAGTGTTTTGTTCACTTTCGCTTCAAAATAGTTTTGAAAAAGAAAAAAATCATTGCACTGGCCGGGAATCGAACCCGGGCCTCCCGCGTGGCAGGCGAGAATTCTACCACTGAACCACCAGTGCTTCATACAAGAGATGGAATCAATAATGTATATAAAGATTACATTTAAAGTCTCTGCCACAAATTTACCGTGTACAGTATAGTAACACGCTTAAAGCTAAACACAAGTAATTAGGTCAAAAATCTAACTTTAGAAGTTAAAAAGCCATTTCGGCGAAATTTTAATCTAATTAATCAGAACTATCGGACACGCGATTTCGTCTAGTCTCGTTTCTGACACATTAAGCTGAACACGAACTGATGGCTACGCGCGCCCCACACTAGTACGAGTTTGCGCGTGACGACAGTGAGCGCGCATTTACGGTTTCACCATGACCGCCACCAGCGGTACGGTACGGTACCGCTGTAGCAAAGATTGTATAGCGCCACGAAGCTGTGCGATCTTTAGCAAATACTTAGTAGCGATAGCACGGTCGGGGTACAGATGACGTACATGTTCATGTCATGATTGTATGATGTACAATTACGGACATGATGCAGAAAACTAAAACAATTCTCAGAATTTAAATTTAGGAGGAAAACTGAAGGTCTAGTGTGGAGGTGGCTTCCTCCATGCTTAATCCCTCTGCTTCTGACCTCATTGGTACCCTAGAAGTAGAGGCCTATGCAGCGCCTACCAAGTTCTGCTTATTAGTGCAACAAACTCCACAGTAGGATATTCACTAGGCCTGTGTTGGAAAATTCGCAGGCCTACTTTCAAAGACACAATTCTCAGGTTGGATTCCTCCTGACTAACGTCCGACCTAGAGCTCAGACTGGGCAGCTTGCGCTGACTGTGAAAATGGGCTAGGCTTGCTAGGGTCTATTTCGCCCATTTGAGTACCTCAAGCCTTCATTCTAATGACATGAATGAATTCAATTTGTGATTTCATTACGTAAGCAGACTTCAGAGTGCTGTGCCGAGGTTCATGGCCTGCGCCATGCTGTCATGGTTAGGTCCAAGGTACCCCCAGAAGTGTGGGGTCCAATGTCCCCCCGCTCCTACAAACTGATGAGGTTCATTGGAATGGGGTGGACCTCACAGTTCTGGGGGTAGGTCCGAGGCTGAGCCTTGGCTTTAATTTGAGTGTTCTAGCTCTAAGGTGCAGATCTGTCACAACAATAGGTTTCTTTTCAGTCATGATTGTTTGGAGGGGAGGGGGCTCAGATCAAAATGTTAACATACACTGTATTTGGTTTTGAACTGAAATTCAACGGTACCAGACAGTCGCATCGTAGGCCTAACGTTAAGCCCCTAATGCAATTGTTACTTGCACGTTTTGACCATTTTGTGTTCTATCTAGACCCATAAATAGGGTCCAGTAGATATCGGTGGAGTGTACAGTACATGTACATATTCGTATAGCATATAGTACCCTGTTTATGATCGAATCTAGGTTCCCTCTGGCTATTCTTGCTGTAGTAAGCCTACATGGATGAATGGATGCAGCTACCTGGCCTGAATCAAACGGGTGTTAGTTGGTCATTTTTGCTGAAACTGAACTGATGTTACTAGGGCCTACCAATGACTAAGATGATTCTTTCCGGTGTACTTTATTTGCATGATCGTTGGTGTAACGTTATGCATGTGTTTGGATTTTTGTTAACAGGATCATGAATTGGTACCGTTCGCAATCAAAGACTTCTGGATGATATGGGGTCATGAGCTCATCAAGCCGTTGATCTTCCCAGTTGCAAAGGTGATATGGGATGACGAGGTTCAAGTTGAAGACAGTGCCAGCGGTTCGCTTTGCTGGAGGGCGCTCTTTAACCCGCTGATGACGATAGACTCAGAGGGGGGTGGCAAGAACGAGAGGACGGGAGGAATGAAGGCGCTAATCCAAAGCATTGTGCGGAGACTAAGAGGGCAGGTCCCAGACGGTGACGTCGGTGAGTCAGTCATTCATGGTGTTCATCGTATTTTCTCCTGAGTTGATTCTCCTACGAATCGATTTCATTCAAAAGGCAAGTCAACTCAGGATGGGGTACTGTAAATCCACCCCCTCCCCAGTATAGCTAGGCATGAGTTGGGGGTGGGGGTGAAGTGCCAATTTCTTTCTTAAGCCGAGTAAGGATCCCCCCAAAGGTACATGGTATAGTAGGCCCCCCTACCAGTGAACCAGTTCAGTATTTGAACGGCGCATGCCAAAAGTAACCCAAAATGAAGCCTGCCGTAGGAACAGCAACTGATGCATGTAAGCTGCCATGTATTTGAAGTCTTATGCCAATTGTACGCTGGCATTGTTCTTCACTGACTATGGCTCCTATTGTGCAACTTAATTGCCCCCTGAAACACTAGGAAGCTATTCTAGTCAGTGTCCTTACATACAGAGGCCCGTTATTCTTACGTCCTAAAATCTGATTTATTCCAATTTTGTGTAGCATCTGAGTTGTTAGAACATGAAAAGTGTTCTCTTTTTTTTGTCCCAGATATACAGGACCGCAGTTGCACCCCACATCTTTGTAGGGGAGTTTGTTTCCAGCAATCACTAACCAAATTTGCAAAACCAAGTTCTGTGCCATCTTAGCTGACAGCGTCATCTGATGTTGATGGATGGTTAGTGTTGCAAACAGCCTTACATTGTTCTCAAATGGTACGGTACCACCCACGCTAGTAAATTTCACACACGAATAATGTCTTTGTCCAGTAGGATATTAACTTTCTGATTCAGATGCTTAAAAGCATGGTACCATCTTAATAGTACTCACTGATTCTAGTTGCTGGAAACCTTTGTTACCAAGACTGGTCCTTCTAATAGAGATACTTGCTTGATGTAAAAGCCTCGTGTACATTCAAGTTATTATCCTCCGATCTGGGACCCATTTGTACACGGTTGCTGTGTAGAAACCTCTTTCACTTTTCTAGATTTACATGAAATGCACAATTTGCCAGCAGATCAGACCAGAAACTACTACTGAAATGTTTTCTGTTCACTGCTGAGCCCAAGGTAAAAGATTTCTTGATGGATTTGATTTAAAACAAAGACTTAGGATGATGGTTTGCTTTTTAAATCATGGTGTTTTTTTCAAGCAACGGAATGAGTTCCTGGTTTGATAAATAATCTGTTGAATTGGATTTCTGTTTTCTAAAGTGCCAGTGAAATGTGCAAATCATGATTTTTATATCATTGTAATAAAACAGTGCTTTTTAAATTAATGTGAGATTGTACAATGTGCTTTTTTCTATGTGGCCAGCTTTTCACGGAAAGACCTGCGTTGTAGAATTCTAATACTGAAGCATGGATCTGTATATACAGAAACAATGGACTCCAACACGTATGATGATGGAGGGTGATTTTTTTCTCGTCTAGCAGTGATATCTGGTGTGGGCATGACCTAACAGATATTTGGGGAGAACTTTAAATAGTTTACAAGGATGTTGCTTGTAGCAAAGGTGAAATCCATGATGTAGCACTCATCTATGCAGGAAGATTTGCTTTATCACAAACACATCTTTTGCAAACTATTCTGACCACAGTATCCATTTTAATAACATGTCCAATCATAATGTAGTTTACATCAGATAATTACAGATATACAAGTGAACATTACCAATGTACAAGTACAATGATACCCATGCAGTGACCATAATAATTATATACACAAACATTTAAACACTTTGTTTAAACCCTTCTGTGTGTTATTGGGAATCCTAAGCCTTTATCTATGAGCTGGGTACTACATCATGTTTTACTTTTAAATCAAAATATTCAATAATGGTGTCACACTTGTAAAATGTGGGAAGTATTTTTCTTTCAAATTACATCATAAAATATGTGTACTTTAAAATGTAACACTTGCTAAGGTTACACGCAGAGTATTAAAAAAAATCAAAAGAACAAATATCAGACCACTGAGTCCGGTGTCTCATTCCAGGATTGTTGGAAGAAAGTTTCAGCTGTGAATCATGTGGACAAATTCAGCATCTGATCATTTTATTCAGTGTCTGAAATGGACGACATTCATCCAGGAATTCAAGCAATACGTACAGCTCTTTAGTAATTTTTTTTTCAAAAAGCCTGAATCCGAAACCTGCTCAGTGTGTTACCTCCCTTCTCTAAATACAAAGCTTTACTTCAATGCAAGCAAATTGGGCGGCTTACATGACATGCCTACGTGTCCCCAACTACAAACCAACCCAATTCAACCTCAACTTGCCAGAGGGCACACACATAATTTCAAACGCTAGTTAAAAAAATGCCTGATTTTTTTCTAACCACTTATTTTAAATCAACCGAGCTGGAAAGTGGTTTCTGATTTTTTTTCTAGGGTCAAAGATGTGCACAAATTTTTATACAAATAGTCTCACTCACTGAACAAGTTCACAGCAGTGTAAGTGAACTGGGAGAAATATCCCCGTCTGATATCTTAGTGATCATTGAAATGATTTACCACTGCTAAATGGTCATCAACAATTCCTGGAAGCCCAACTGTCATGTGTGTATTCATGGAATCCATTTACCAATGTTATCTCTGAGCAAACTAGGGGCAACATCCATGGGTCTGTTCCATCAATGCCCAGACTTTTTCACAGTATTCAGATCCTTCTTAATTTGTCTCAAAGGAAAATTGACAATTTGCGGGACAGAGCCAACATGCCCTATATACATTTACATTACCAATGAATAAATCAGTAAATCTTGATTTTCTTTACATAAATGCATTCAGTGTCATCAAATTGACGTAAATCGCTGTACCTGAGAGTGGCATTTTTTCCAGGAAGAGTGCAGGCGTTGTTTAAAACAGATAGGTCTCAACAAACTGTCCATCTGTGATGGCAACAAAAATGCGTGTCCAAATACTGTGCCAACATGTGACACAATTGCTTGAAGCTCATTGAGACGATGCACAACACCAACTGACCAGTATTCAATGCTGAAGGCAAAATACACTGCCGAAAATGGTTGCCTAGTGTGGCACACAACCACAGAACATGGATTTAGCCCACAGCAAGAGCTGTATACTGGGCCCAAGAGTTTACTTTACTCCTGTCAAGAATCTAGAAACCAAGGGAATGCTTCAAATGGCCTCTACGGTGGGACCGTGGAGGGCACTGTGCGGCCTATTCACTGTAGACAGAAAGCATGCACTGGTTCTTATGTGTGTGGTGTAATGTACGTACCACAAGCTTTCATCAGAATGGGCACAAATGCACTAAGCAGCAGCACTCGAGTTATCCCAGGTTCTCCCCAGAGCATGCGCACTAATATCTGGGAAATTGTTTTCCACTGAAGGAGGTCTCCCATGATTCATTTCTCTTCCACCTCAGCTGATTGGTCTGTTGTAGTACAGGACAAAAAGATGACCCTATGACTCTTGCTTTACCGTACCTTTCAACACACCTCATAATTTGTCTGTACATCAATGTTGTCATAAAAACCACAAGCTATAGTGGATAAACAGTTTGACTTATCCACTTTTTGGGTTAATCTCAAATGATAGTTACAGCACTGGTCTTGATTTTTTTTAGCAATTGAATATAAGACCTAAGTTTCAAATAAACCTGAAAGGCTGAACACGATGATGACTTTCGTGCACATTTAACAAGATTAATTAAAAAATACTGTTTCTCGTAACATTGAATTCATTGCAAGTGACTTAACGTTTCTGCAGCTTTTGTTTTTGTCTAAAAGAACTATGAAATATTTAACACATTTTCACCAACATCAGTTTTTCTCACGGGCGTCACTCAATTTGTCTAGTGAACAAAGTTGGCAAAACAACAGCATCACACTCACAGCTTCATCTCTAGCTAAATTAACGATTCTCATGTAAAACAATGCGTAACGTCTAAAATCACAGATGTTAAGAATTCAACATTGCACAAGTGTTAACACCAATTACTCTAACATATGCAGAAAGAAAAGGAAAATTGTGAGTAACCAACTTTGGTTTCCTAAAGCAGTGTATGATCATAAAACAAATCCTTCAAATTTTTCCACAATTTATATGGATCTGGTACTGCTGTTTTTGTAAGGGTAAAATGAACCTTTTTGTTACATTCCCCAAAAGTGTGAAGTAATTTCTTTTTCGATCACCTTTTTATGTTACAGGTTTTAGTTCAATTTATTTTTAGATTTAATGCTTTCTCTGTTCTTTCAAGGATGAAGATCTATCTATATACAGTTATCCGTGAACTGACAAGGTATTAGTTTATATGTAAAGCCAGAGATTAAAACGAATGTAATCAGATCGTAAAAGATGTTAATTATTGCTAACGACTAAAGGAGTTCCTTGATGTTTCAAATAATTTTAACAGATTTGCCCACTTGTTGACTGCACTGGTCCTCAAATCTTTTTCAATCTCTGACCGCTATCAAATCATAATATTTTTATATGTCACCCAGTGTCATTAGAGTGAAATGTTTTTACTAAAGTGAGGAATCAATTCAGGTAAGGCACAGCGAAGTGAACCTGCTCCTTGCTTTAAGAAACGATAGTTTGTGTTCGTCCTACTTGTGCTTTATTTGACTGATGTATTACAACATAGCTGCACCCTTGCCATGGGGTGTGACTGATGAAATCTTACACAATGGTTGAAAACAATTGGGAAAAAGGTCTTGAGTGAGTTTGCCGCTCGGTCGTTGGCCAATATCTAAGAGCTTCCCGTTGTGGAGGATTCGGGCTGCGGGAGTATGGGCGCGACGATGGGGATAGGCGAGCCTTTCAGGATGGCCGGATTAAGGAGGAACGGCACAGAACTGCCCGGCTTGGCCTCTTGGGCCCCAGGAAGGGGGGCCAGGTAGGGCAGGGGCGGCTGCAGGATGATGTTGGGCTGGCTGGTGACTGGGTTGGTCTCAATGGTGCTGGGTGTGGTTGTAGGCGTGGCTGCTGTTCCTACAGTGGGCAGGGCATCTTTTGTGGGGGTGGCATCCTGTGTTGAAGGTTTTGGGCTTGCTTCTATGACAACAAAAAGGTAATGATGATGTCACAGCTTTACTGGAAGAAAAAAACACTGCTAGTGATAAAAAGTGATTCTTATATCCATCCACAAAGATTGAAGTTCTAAAGCAAATTGTGATATTACTTTTCCCTGTTGACCTACCTTCTGGTTTTGCACTGACAGTAACTTGCTCCTCTTCAATTGGACTGCCATCTCTAACGATGTCATCTGGTGTAGGGGCCATGCTTGGTGCCGGCTCTTTGCTCACAACTAGACAAGGAATTGACAGGAAATACACCCAGATAATAAATACACTGGAAGAGAATGAACCCTGTAACAAACATTGCGCTGTAGACCAATCTTGCAGTCGCAACATGGCCACACCAAAACGTTGGGGCTAAAAACTGCCATCTTCAACAAATGGCTAACGCACGTGGTTGGATGTATAGCACAGCCAACAGCCAACGCATCACTGATGGCCTGGACCCAACCTACCTGGCTCGTGGGGCTTGAAGACTTCATTCTTGAGGCCTGGCAAGAAGCAGTCAATACGCTCCCAGGTGAAGACCCAGAGCTGGCAGTTCTGGCCTCGCTCTGAGCCGGCCGCATCTTGAAAGACGCCTGCTGTATCCATGACCAAAAGCATGTTCTTCAAGGATTCCGGGATGGCCTCATACTGTAGGTAAACAAGGAAAGAGCAAACAAATCAACAGTTAGCATTACACAGCCCAATACAGACACAGCGTACTATCTGATGAGTTGCTGTGTAGAATACGCTCCTCAAACAAACTGGCTAAAAGCAAAAAACTACTGTTAAGTAACATTTACTTAACTTGCCTGAGAGAGTGCTGAGAATGAAATGACCTGTATTGAGCTGCAATTTCCCCCACGAAATGTTATTTAAAAAAATTAGATTACCCTATAAGGCCTCTAAAACTTTACATAGATCACAACAAACATTTAGCATAAGGCTCCGTTGCATACCAGTCTGCCATTACAGATTGCTTACAGAAAATTTTAACTGCTATTAAGCTGGATAAAAACACTTGAGTACAATAATTCTTGCTATATAGAATGCAACATTAAAGCGGTTTAGCTTACAAGTAGGTCACTCTTGTCAGCATGCATGTACTTGTCCATGAAATCCAGGATGGTGAGCCACAGTGCCGTGAATGTAGACAGCGATAGAAGGGGTGTCAAATGCTGTAAGAATACCTGTGGGGGTTGTTGGGGAGAGCACAAGTTTCGATCATCCTCACTGAAATTTGTGTGTTGATTTTGTCCACTTAAGCTTTATGCATTAATGAGGCAAGTCCGACTGGCCTTGTTGCTAAATACACCTGCACAGAGAACGCAGCACCTATTCCTGCATTCGTGGAGGCAGTTTTGCAAATATCGGCTTCCTCTTGTCTCAGGCCCCACCTCCCACATTAAAATTTCTTGTCGGTACACAACATTTGAACAAAATAAAATAATTCCATTACTGGGTCGACTCCATACCTGTTGAGGTTCCTAGAGCAAATGCCGACGTTTTTGGAGCAAAAACTCAAACAAAAATTTAAAAGAGCAAGATATGAAGAGACATAGCCAAAAATTTGAACCCCTCTCCCAACACCACTGATGTCGGTGATACTGGGTACAGCACCTCAGACCCACTCACCTTGCACAGCAGGGTGGCAGCCCTCATGCGTGTCTCCTCCAGCCCCACTGGGTCCTGAGGGTGGATCTGGTCCAGCAGCTTGGCGAGCAACGGGAACAGGACCTTGTTGAAGCAGGATTCCCACTCTACAGCCGACAGCGTCTGCAGGTCATGCACAAGCAGAGCCCGCTGCAGGTAGGTCAGGGCCTGCATGCGTACCTGGCGTCGTATGTCGCAGCACAGCCGGGCGATGCCTGCCAGTGAGAGAGGAGGAGGTCTTTACATTAAGTTCTATCACTTTGGATCGGCGCGCAGGAAAACTTTGCTGAGCAGAAAACTCCCATTGGCAAATTTATGTGATGTGTTAAGAACCAGTCACAGGAATAACGACATGCCATTCAGGCTAGCAACCTGTTCTTTTCCCATGCTTTCGACAGAATTCTGCCATTTCAACTAAATGACCCAATCCTATGAAATGTACTGACGGACTGGTACCTCTCTGCTTTTTGCTTTTTATAAAACAGCACAGTATATTGCTAACAAGGATGCTAGTTTCCCATTTCTTCATTTCCATAATTCAATTTCCTTGGATCATCATTCACACTGTTCTGTTTCTAAGCAGGCATTCTCTGTTAGCTTGAAGAATGAATGCAGACAGCAATGGATTGAACCAACTTGCTCAAACTAATGTCTACTGCTGAAGGACATGCACAAAAAATATCCCTTCGAGGCTGCAATTCCTGAGAACACTGTCCATGAACCTTACATCCCTGGCATGGAATAACTGCAATTGTGTCTTAATATTGCATGCAAACAGGAGCAAAAGAATCCATTTCCAGACTGTTTCATGGTGATGTCTCAACAGTCTGGGAGTAATTGCACTCAGCTCTTGGGATTTAGCCAAAGTATACCTTTCTAGAACTGACTTTCAAACGTACATGAATGATAAACACACATGAACAGGCTGGAATTTGATGGCCCTTCTCTTGCACTCAGTGTAAAACTGCAAAAATGCCCCGCTCTGACGTGAACAATGACCCCATTATGTGACTGTAAGCAATCAAGACAACAACCTTGAAGTAGCGGGCACCAGCATTTGACCCACAATGCACTTGCTCCTGCATCAATCGTCATCTGTGATCCACCTTTCTTCTCTTCCTCAGCCCAGGAACTGAAGATGGATGCTGCCCTCGTGTGGAGGGTGTGCATCAGGTCCAGTAACTAATAACAAAAAGATTAAAAAATTTCTTCCAAATTCAACATCTATTTTTACCATTATTATCTTTGATTTCAGCAACAAATTCCTCCCGACATGCAACCAATCATAGCCTTCACTGCTTGGACCCTCCATTCCCTATCCCATAATGTTGCATGAGTAATGCCTTCATAATACATCAACCAATCAAAAGCTCAAGTCTGTTTAAATCTAACCAATCTCCAAACCAGCATTAAAAGTGAATGACACCACTTTAAGAGATTCCACCAATCAGAATTTGCATTCACTTTGAATCAGCTAATCCAGATTCTGCATTGAAACTGAGGGATCCCTGCCATTATCGCTCAACCAATCAGTACCCAGTTTCTTTTTTTGAATCAGCCAATGACCCACCTGTATAGACAATGAGTGATAGCCTCCAGGAGGTCCATCATCTTCCCCATCGTCTGCCCCGTCTGCCATCTGCGAGATCTTTTCGGGTACAGAGCTTATCTTGGGCATACCCTTTTTATTCCTCTGATTCCGTGACATTCGGGAGTTTTTCTTGTCTTTTGTCGGCTCAGGTTTCTTTTGTCGATCGTGTCTAAGTTTCCCTGTACACGCAAAACAATGTTTCCTTTAACTCATCACAAGAAACATCATCACATATCTTGGTCAACGATTTTGTCATGGGGGAGGAGGCTGACTTAATGTGTATTCAAGGCGTAAATTTCTTTTAAAACTCCAGTAAATACAAATATAGATTGATGAAAATGAGAACATTTGTAACATTGTTGGGAAGGTAGGGGTATGATTGGGATAATGTTGCTTGATTAACCTGCAATCTTGCACTCAACAATATTACCAAATTAAGATAATTCTTTTGATAGGAGGGGGGGTTTATGGCTACCATAGAGCAATCACAATTTGAACTAATGAACATTATCTGCTAAGAAAAGAACCCAAATCTACATAGGGTTGTGCAGCACCTACCCCCATTGACTGTGGCCTCCACAAAGCTCCTGATGGCATGGACGCAAGACTCAAAGTTGGCGGGTGTGACGTGGGCGGCGTCTCGCACCAGGAATGCCAATGACTCGCAGCACTTCATGAGGGCCTTGGTGTCATGGTGGCTCAGCGTCTGATCCAAGGCTATCTCAAACTGGTTCTGGGGCTTGGAAACGCCTTTGGAATGGTTGTGGGTGTGGCGGACTGTGCTGTCATTGTTCACCTGACAAAGAAAGAGCAGACATCATAGCATTCAAATTATCACCTGTTAAGAAGCTTTCAACATCATCCAGATTCAAAAACGGTACAGAGATGTTCTGCATAAAAACACAATCTGAGGACGTGACGCATCACATTCAATTAACGGAGGCTGAGCTTGACCATCAAACTGGGGATTATTGTGCAGTCTATATGTACACTTCAACCTTCAACATACACTGACAAGAAACTCAGCATATTTTGGAAAAGGCATAATCAATAAATCATAGTGTAATGACGCCTGTTAATCTTCAAGGATGGTTCCTCTGTCTGGTCAACCGCAGTTGATCGCTGATCTGTTAAAGTTGTTCATCATTTGAACAACTCACTGATCCACTGACATGTTGCTATCCATTGTGACACAATCCATGCTTTAAGCATTTCAGTTTTTCTCTTTGATGCAAACTTCTTTGACCAGTGCCATGAAAGTTCATGCTTATAAACAACCAGTGTTCTGACTTCATCAACCACTCTACTACTATCCACTAACGTTCCACCATCAACTACGCAGTAATTTACAGCTGTCCCATCTGGCCCCATGTTTTTTGCTTTACTTGATGCGATTTCTTGCTTTAATCAATTCAACTAATCCAATGAACTCCCAAAACATCAATGAACCCAATACCACAACCATTCGCCAGTGCCGCTTTGACTTCATCTATCATGGCTCTCTGCAGTCAAACCTGCCTTAACGACCACCTGTGCATAACATCCATCTGTGTATGAAGACCATGTCCAAATCCCCCCATGTAAAAACTATTGTTTACATACTGTGTATAACGACCCACTGTACAACGCGACCAGCGACCGCCCCCTTTTTGCGTTTGTCTGCACAGGCACTAAAGCCTGTACACAACGACCGCCAATCGAGACCCATAAAAAAGAGACCACTGAAAACCACTTCCGTCACAACTGCCGTTCGATTTTTGAGACATTCATAAAGCCAAACAAACTACAGTACTTAAAAGGATTAGTGATTAATGCCGGGCTCACTTCCAGCCATGCTTCCAGGAACTTTTCAGTCTTAATCTTGGTTGTAAGTTGCATCCACAATAATGCTTTTGTTCGTTGACCCAACCAAGCGCTTGGTCCGAGCCCCATGCAAGCACACACACAGCGTAACCACACGCGATCTTGAGCATTCATGCATGCACATTATGCATGACCTGTGACCTCAGAATAGTCTCGTTCAAACAGAACGTTATTTAAAACTGCTCTGAAATTTTAATTTTCAAAGGTAGAATCGTGGATTTTGAAAATATAGCTGCTTTAATATGTTTACAATTTTCTCTGCTGCATTTAAATTTTAAATTTGCCCAATAGAGTTCTACATTTAAGAACTCTGGGCTGACCTAATGATCTTAAAGTCTTGCACGTTGTTGCTTTTGTTGGATATTGTGTTTACACAACTTTGCAGACATTACGTCTCTCTCCATATCGCTGGTTTTGAAAAGGAGAAAACATAGCTCTGAATCCTTCAAGATATGGATGTATGAAGAGAGGAAGATGAGGTGCTGAGCGATCGTTGAGTTCTTGGGCATGTGAGGCCATCGTGGCCAGCATGCAGTTGGCAACGATATGACCAAGATGGCACTATTACGATTACAGCCACAATTCTTTTTCATCTCGCTAATCGTGAATGGACTAAATGTTTTTGTGGAAAATACTGCGGTTTACTTACTTTTTTACTGTTTTCTCAAGAAGTAGGAACTGTATGGAGCTGAAACTTTCACAGGTGACTTGAATTGTATCTTTCTTGAAAATTTTGCCTACCAATCAGGATTCCCTTGACAAAAACCAATCTATGATCCTACCTTTAACAAAGCGTTACATGAATAAAATAAAATTACTGCATAGGTTTTTGCAATAAGAAAATCCTTCAAAGCATTCACCTTTATTTGGGACAGATGTAAGAACAAAAAAATCATTAAATAAGGCAGGTTTGACTGACATTACTTTTATGAACATGAATCACTTCCTGTGGAGAGGGACCACCTGTCTATAAAGACCCACTTTTTCCATTTCCATTGATCTTTCTGGGCAGGTTTGACTGTATCTGCTAAGACTCACCACAATGACTCTGTCATCTGTCATGGTTGACACGTCGGGCTCACTGCTCGATCGGTGAGGCTGCCTGTGTTTGAAGAGTTCGCTGTCAGACGTGTAGCCTTGGTCTGAGGCACCACTAATACTGCCGGTTGACATCTCGCTATCTGACTGGGTGCCTACAGAACAAATGGAAAAAAAAAAACAAAGACCAGTTCAACAATTTGATGAAAGCACCATTTTTGTTATTGCTTATCAAATTGGCCTCTGTTCACTCAAATTCTGACAATAAGAATTATAAGGTTGAAAAATATTAAATAAATATCCAGTCAAACACAGACGAGAAGAGCACTTTCAATACAAGGTCATGTAAATGCCAGATTTAAAAACTTTACACATAATATTTCCAGTTTGTAATAAGCTGATCATTTTTCAATGCAATTTTCTCTGTGATGACAAATTGGTGGTTGTGGGTGAGAAATTGCTATTTTCATAGTTCCATTAAGGTTTTATAGAGGCTTTGTGTGGTAGCCATCATGCAGGGCAGTGCTTTTAATCCACAAGGTATACAAAAAGGAGGTTTCCCTGTGGAACAAAAGAACTGCCCTACATGATGGCTACCATGCAACGCCTCTATATAGTAAGTTGAATCAACAGATCAACAGAAGAAAGATTTCCTGAATTCAGTTTCTTACATACATCTTCAACACATCCCTTTTTCATCTCAAAAAAAAAAACAAACTCTGGAGCTTTTTCTCTGAGTCATGATATGTATGATCCAGAGAAATCCAAATGCAGGCACTGGCTGGATTTCTCAGTGACAGAGAAAATAACACGGATTGCTTTCTCCTACATTGTGTATCATTTCAGTCACTAACAATACTACTTTCTAGTGCGCATGCTACTGCGGTGTGCCCACCTGTGTCTGATATCTCCAGATTCCTCTTGCCGTCTACCATGTGGACGCTAGGGGGCACTGCCCCAGCCCCAACGCACTCCAGCAGAGCAAAGAGCGTATACCAGTCCTGGGAGGAGTGGATGTTGGCAGCGTTGGTGCGTAGCAGCTCGTGAAGGCCATAGGCCACCTGGCGACAGACGCGCTGCAGGACCGACTTCTTCATCAGCAGCAGCATTCGGAGAGATGTCAAGACCTGCAGGGGAAGAGAATTTGTGAACTTCAACAATTCAAACATATCCCAAAATTCTGGTCATCAATACAACTGGCGCTGGGTAAGGTAATGCACACTCGAATGAAATCTGCTATTTGTAGAGACAGAGGAAGAAAATGACTTGAGGTAGGTTCATACTGCATTCCTTAACCCTAACAGTCCTCAGTCCTCCAACAGGTGAAGGATTGAGGAGTGTTAGGTTTAAGAGAGATGATGACTATTATCACTCTCCCTCTTGATTTAAATCTTCTGATCCCGGGCATATCACATGACCCAGTTGCATATCACATGACCCAGTTGCATATCACATGACCCAGTTGCATATCACATGACCCAGTTGCATATCACATGACCCAGTTGCATATCACATGACCCAGTTGCATATCACATGACCCAGTTGGTCATTGCTACAGAAACAAGACGCGACCTTCACTGCTCTGCATAAATGCATTTAACATTGTTATTATTTAATCCGGACATAATACAGAATCTTCTGTCTCAACTTTGGTCGGAGTTGGGCCCTCCCCCCAGACTCACCTGAGCAGCAATGTCTTCCTTCCTCAGCAGGCGTATAGCAAGTCGTAGGATGCCCACCACGGCCCTCTCAACCAGCTGGCTGTACTCTGATTGCGATACAATCAGACTGTAGAGATGATCACAGATGCCCTGCCACAGGGTACCGACCCGATCCCTGCCAGACCAACAACAGAACACAGTGGTACTTATACAAATCGCAGAGGACAAGCAGGAAATGCCTTTTTGGTGAGCTCACATGAGTGTGTAAACGCCTTCAATCATGGACCTATAACAATAGGGGACAATAGGGTCCACAGTTGCCGAAGAGTCCGCGGTTGGAAAACGTGTACAAAACAGGTCTTCCGAAAAAGTTAAAGTACGAACAAAAGAGGAACAATTGGGAGTCCAGGATTGAAGGCATTTACACACTTGTGTGAGTGAGCGAAAGACTCACTGCATACACACAATGGTGCACACAGGAGAACAGTGCAAGCATATGACCAATTTCCAAACTGAATGTACATGTCATATACTGAGTGCAAACTTGTGGCATCTCTCCGCTGGAGCCCTGGTGCACTACTAAAGTGGTGCTCAATGTCTAAGAGTAACAGAGAGTCTGTAATAACACGCAAAAATAGACGAAATGAAATTTTTAATTTTGGAAGATGCAACAACTACCCCCCTTACAATGCAACTTTTCAAAAAGCTATCCTTTTAAATGTGAACACTTCCAAACACAATGCACTGCCAAGACTATCAGAGACAATTAAGTTCTTCTAACACAATGGAAATAGTTGATAGCACTGTTATTATCATTATTTATTTCTGGTAATGACACCAAGGATTCCTCAAAAGTGCCCTAGGCACTGTAGCTTGTGAACCTGAAGAAACCTGTAAAGACAATGAGAAGCAGTTATAGTTTTAGAGGTGGGAGGAAAGACCCAGGGGAATATTCTGGGTAAAACCCACGGAATCAGGTAGGGACTAAAAATGCAATCCACATGTGGACCGAGCTAGGAATCGAACCCGGACTGCAGAGGTGGAAGGTGAGGAAAGAACCACAACACCAACCCGACTGTTCCAATATCAGTCCCTTTTGCACAAGGAATCGATTTGGTTTTAAGAGTGAACGGCAGTCTTAAGAGGGAAAAAAAGCAGCAAACCAACCAGGAACTACCTAATTCGATGGAGTGTAGGTGTGAGAGTTAACATCTTGTACCTGTTTTCCAAGACAACCCTGATGAGGAGCTCAAAGTTAAAGACTGCCGCCTCCTCCTCGTACTGCATCCCCAGTGAGTCGGCTGCCTGAGGGCCCTGGGAGGCAAAGGTCAGGGCCTTCATCAGCTCCTGCAGTGACTCCTGACGCAGGAACTTGCTCTCCGTGATCAGGTGCTCTGGGTGACAATCCTGGCGGGGGGAGGGTCAAGTGGGGAAAGTCAGACTCTGCTTTGTGACAGTGAATGTCAAGTCTAGGAGAGTGTGTCAGGAAAAATCAGCAAAACATCAAACGTGCAGCCTTGTCCGAAACAGGCATTGTTTGTCAACGGCTGAAACTATTTACTGTATGACGTCATGGGAAAAATTACATAGCCAAGGTCAGAAAACACTCGATTCGGACGCAGCCTACCTTTCCAATTGGTATCAAAATTTGAGGACCTTGATGACCCCGATGGGCACTCAAAATGTTCAAACATATGCCCACAAACACAGTCAATATAATGTACCCTTCACTCAGAAGTCAGCAGAGTGTACATTGCTCATTCTGACACTGATAAATACCCTCCGAAGTGACCGCTGTGTTCTTTTTTGCACTACTCTGTTGATGCTAAGCGGCTGGAAATTTTCAACGGCCACCTTCCTGACTTCCCCACCAATGTGCAGCAACCCCAGGCGGCACATCATCTTCAACTTGCAAAGGGGCATTAAGGCTCTTGGAAAGTAATCATTCCTGGGTTTAAACCATCCATAATTCTGTGCAATTCCCAGACCTCAACATGGATTTAATGGATCTTATAGGGTTAGGGTTAACCACAAGATCTAAATGATATTTGCCCTTTGTGCCTTCACTAAATATTTGCTCCCACAGCAGGTCAACATATGGTGATTACACCTGGTTCTTAACGACTGACCTCTATACAGCTCCTGGCTTGCTCAATGGCCTCTTTATCTTCATTGGTAGGGCCTTTCTGAGTAGATGTCTCAGCAGTTGTGAAGTAGGAGTAGAATGAGCCAAGTAAGGACGAATCAGACCTGAGCATAGAGAAAGCAAGAAACATAAACCACTTACTGACTCTGCACACCAAGTTAAAATGGTTCTAGAGCCTGTGATGTTACAGACATCTTACTATGTTTAACCTGATTGGCTGCATATCCTAAGAAGGAAACCCTGGCCCTTGGATCCATAGTCCTGGACCTCAAAGGTGTCAAATGAGGAGAGGCAATGTGGAATTCAGCATCAAGCAGACCTAAAGACAAAAATGGTTCTAAGTCTGAAGGGGTTGAGACATCCTTGGATGACTAACTTGACTAGCTGCATCCCCTCTCCAATGAGGTAGACTCTGCCGCTAGCACCAACAAAGTCTCTGACCTCCACACTCTCTATGCAAGGTTGCTGGCACACAGCTCAGTATTAGGTAAATGAGTTATTCTGGTAAATATCTGATTACAATCTCAGATAAAATATTGTTTTGATCCCATATAAGTCAAGATACCTCAAGATGGATTACTTGACCGGCTCCATCTCCTCTCTAATGAGGTAGACTGCTGCTAGATTCCACAATGTCTTGGACATCTACCATCTCTGTTCAGGGGAGCTGCATGGCAGCTCAGTATTGAGTGAATGAGTTACTCAAGTAAACATCTGATCACTAACCAAAGTAAAATACTGTTCTGACCCCATATGAGTTCAAGCATCACAGGATGACTTACTTGACTGGTTGCATCTCCTCTCTTATGAGGGAGACCCTGCCGCTAGGATCCACGAAGTCTTGGACCTCTACCATCTCGATGGGGAGGAGCTTGGCCCGATACAGCTGCAGCATGCAGTCCAGGAGGTTCTTCCAGCCTTCGGCTAGGATGTCGCCATGGCGATGGGCCAAGCCAAAGACTGTCTTGGCCGCAAGGTGGGCCTTGGCATTGGAGCCAAAGGCGATTGGAAGGTTCTCTGGGGTCTTTTTTCAGGTAGGTAAAGCAAACATGAAATACAATTGTGAGTTGAGTTTAAAATACTTGGAAGGGATAGTTGCCTCTGTTACTGAAATGGATGGGTGCCATTTCGGGGATCTGTTAGCACCATAATATAAGATTGTTGTGCACATGGCATTTTGGGGGCATTTGGGGGTATTAGACACTCTTGGGAATATCCAATGAGGTCAAGGTATGAGGTGGTTTCAAAATGCCTGCTTTACCTCCATGGAACTCAGAAGAGTGGTGAACTTGCAGAGGGAGATGACCAAATTGTCGAACACGTCCGTCAAACCGTAATGGGCTGAGATCATTGCACATTTCCTACACAGAATACGCACAAGACACAGATCAGCAAAGCCTGTGACTCAAACACAGCACCACAATCTGGAGAACCGAGTTCACTCAGACAGTATGACTTAAAGCTGGACTCAAGATCTGAGGAACAAGTTTCCAAGACGTTTCCATGTTTACACTTCAATGGTAGTTTGAAATCGGAATAACATTTCCAAAATCAACACAGATCTTCACAACAGTCCTCAAAGCATCTCTAAAGCATCCCCAAACTAGATATGAACCTAAATGGTCTTCAATCTTCTAAATCCTCCATCTAGAATTGAATTGAGTAGGATGAATTTTTTCACAGAATGAATCCTGTACCTGAATCCAGCGATAGCCTTCTGTGTGATGGTGTCATCCATGCCTTTGTCAAAGACAAAGGACAGGGCAGCCACTGTGGGTCCCCAGGCCAGCAGGAACATCTCACGGTCCAGCTCACCGCACTGGGCATGCAGGAAGGTACCCTCCTGACTGGCCCCTCGCTTCAGCAGCACACGCCACAAGTAGTTGTCACGGACTAAGCCCGTCTGCTCAGCCGGCATCACAATCTCCTCGCTCCTGAAATTGACAACCTCCAATAAATGACTAACCGGGCCTACTGACCAATGACAAAATCTCATACATGCGTGTGTGAAAGAAAACTTATCTTTCGTTTCAGAGCCCAGTTCTATGGAGGTACTATGCAGAAAAATTGCAAAGCAGATTTGTGTGTTAAGCAAAGAGAAGCGGAGAGTAAGGTTCAAGTTAGTAGACTTTGCAATGCACTTTGGCTGGTAACCTGGTTTTGTGCTAAGCACACATTTTCAGCACTTGGCCAGTTTCAGAGCTTAGTAGCTTTATGAAATTGACCCCAGAAAGCTTTTGGCCTTGAAAAAGTTTCTGTTGGAATTGAAATGACAAGCTCTCTAACATGTTAAGATTTATCTCAAATTCAGGGTGCTTAGAATATTTTCCATTGCCTCATTCTGTGCGGACCGATTCACCAGAACCACACTTTTAGTTACCACTCTATTTGTCAGTGCTTTTTGACACAAAACTGAAAGTTGTTTGTATTGATGAGCAGTGCCCAATAAATGTAAACAGCAACAAAGATAATAGGTAAACAATGGCGTTACACTTACTTGATAGCATTGAAGACTTCTTCCAGCATGGATTGATCAAAATCTGACCCGCCATTCACCTTGCTCAGATTCTTCTTAAATTGCTGCATAAATGAAAACATAGGACACATGGGGACAAGGGATACAGGCAAAACTGCAGATTGATTGAATATGTAGTCAAAATAAACACGGTATATCGCATACAGCAGAAGTCAATATTATATACTTTGCCTTCAACAGCAGTCAATACTGTATTTATTGCTTTTAGCAGAAGGCAATGTCATATATACTGCCTTCAGAAGAAGTCAAAATCTTCCATACTGCTCTCAGTCAAATAATGCTTCTGTGATGATATTCAAATATTACCCTAGGCAACTTGATTTAAACATAAAGAATTACCAATTGTATTGGCTCCCTTATTTTGAAAATTTACAGACTTTCTCTGCCAGCTCTGTTTGTTACTGTATAAAATGTATCAAGTTTATTGGTGTGGAGGAATCTGTGCTTACCTCGACGTTCATTGGAATGTTCTGCTTCTTGGCATTATGGTTGTGCTGGTCCACATTCAACATGATGACTGCGTAGGCTAGTGTAAAAGCAGCGTCACTGTTTGCATATGGCTGATGGTTGGTGTTCTAGACCAAAAGATGTCAGAGAATGAAAATATTCAATGAAGGGCAGGTTGTATTCAAGTCCCGACTGATGTGCAAATTCTTTAACCCAACCCCCAAGGGTTGCTGGCCCTAACCTTCCCCATTTACACAAAGTTAAACACCCATATGGGACTTTGTGCACTGATGCTGTTGGACTTTGTTTTTCTGAGGTATGCCAAACCCAATGCAAAAACCAGCTGTTATGGGCCTACCAGACCTATCCCCACAGAATTAAACACATTACTACTGTTTAATTAAATTAATTCTGTGTGGTTGGGGAAGGCTAGGGTTAAGGGCCAATCTGACCAAAACACTATCCGGGCATTATTATTTCAATTGGGACAACAATCGAAATCAGTTTTAAACTTTTCTGGCATTATCCCAGCTTTTTACCCTGATAGGGGTTCTTTTCTGAACTTATTACAGTCTAAATAATGATTTCTCTGTTTTACCTTTATCTGAATTTTCATATTGTGGAAAACTGAATAAATCAAATAAAAAAAAGGCAGAGTGAACAAATAACTCTAGGACTTACATGCCAGTAGGCTGAGAAGTGCTCCATGAGATGTTGGATGACAGGAGCCTCTCCTGGCAGTCGGAAGGCTTCCAGGTACATCCTAAGGGCTTCATCAATCCTGGTGCCCTCAAACACAAACAACCTGTGGGCAAGTTACACACCCATAAAATCTTTACAACCAATTTCCAAAAAGTGTGAGCTTTAGCATCTACCGGAAAAGCAAAAGTGTTTGGGGTAAACTTCTTAAGGAAGAGATGGGAAATAACTGTCTGTTCCGTGACATCTGTTGGAGGAAAAACTGGTGTAATATTAACCAAACACAACTGCTTTTGATAATTAACCCTAACACGGCCAAGATTTTAATAACTTTGTGGTATTGTGGACTACAGAGTCAAGCCAACATATCTTGAATACCAAGATCTTGAATGAAAGCTTAAGTACCAATACTGTGTAGGTAGCTACATGCACAATGATGAAACTGGAAGATTCAGAAAGATTCCTTGTAAAACAAAAGTTTGGGTTGACAAAATGCACTGGCAACACAGTAATAGTGCTGCCTTGTATTGACTCACTTGGTTCCAAGCTACACGTATCTTTGGTGAATGCTCAAACTCACTTCAAAAAAGCTTCCAAGACCTTCTCGTTCTTCTTCCTGCTGAGGTATTCCCCAATCATCTTCTTGTCCAGTCGGGGGTTCTCTTTGAAGAAGATGGCCACCTCGTGGGGGTCCAGCGGGGTGTGTAGGATGCCCTGTTCTATCAGGAATGCGATGCCCTTGGAGGGCTTGAGGTTGAACTGTTCTGTTCCCGCCTGGATCATCTGCAAGAAAAGATAGGACCAACGGTGTATCTGAGATCCAATTTCCGGGGAGGGGGGGCAGTGGGGGGAGCAGACCTATTTTATTATGGTATACAAAACAATACAAATCCCAGGATGGGAAGGGGTTACAGATATGAAGTGGGGCCATCTATACATATGTACCCGTGATACTGCTTCCAGTTCTGCCACTTGATGCTCTCAAGATTAGGAATAATCAAGGTCTTAAATGACTAATCATATTGGCCCAGAGAGTCTCCACTCTTGTGCCATCTCTGAAAATCCTAGGTTTAATTTCCACCTGGATGGGGTTGTCAAGTTCCAGACTTACCGGGAATGCATTTTAAGGAATGTTAATCCACGCCTTAATTCCGCATTTTTCGCTCTTTCTTTTGTAAATGGATCTTCAGCTATACACATAACAGGGATTTTTACTTTCTGAAGACTTCAACTCAACCGTTTCAAATCGTTGAAAAATGTTTCTATTGTTTGTAGTCCTTTTCCTTTAGGGGAGCAAACACAAAGCCGATTGGCATTAAAAAAACTTCAAACTTGAAATCACAGAAACACAGCAATTGAAATTAATCATTTAAACTTGCACATCATCTTGCATTTATGAAAATCACAAAGTACTGCAAGTATAATGACAAGAACCAACCTTTTTCTTTTTTTTGATCTGCATGAGTTGCTCCAGCGATGGCAGATTGGCTGAGGGAGGGAAGCGGCTGACTCGTCGGTTGGGGCTCCCCTCGATGAAGTCCTCTGAGGCCTTCAACTTGCCTGCAATGCCAAGGGGTATAAAGTTTCACACAGTTACAAACCCTTTTTCTGCTATGCCTTCCCTCGCAGAATTTGATAAGAGGTATGTGCCAGTCAACGGTTAGTTGGGGAGCCAAGGTGTTAGATTTCAAAACGCGTTGCCTCACATTACAATGTTCCCAAACCTAAAAGGTTCTGGAATTATTCTGATCATCATTCAGGATGCTAAATTCAAACTTCTGCATGGAGACTTCAGGAAAACAGACAAGACAGAGTTTCACAGCTCAGAAGTTAGAGTTCGCATACTTCGGCATTGACAAGGTTGAAATCTTGAAAGTCATTTTTTATAGTTCACACAATTCACTTCAAAATCTGCCTACAGAGGTGTGTATGAGGCAGTAGATGCTACTTACTTGCGTCTATCTCTTTGTCGCGGTTCGCCGACATGACCTGAGCCATGGCGTAGCCTGTGGTGGGGGGAGTCACGCCCATTCCGACCTGCCTGGCTCCATCCTCATCCTTCCCTCCTCTCTCCTTCCCCTTGTCACCGTCCTCCTTTCCCGAGATGTCCTGGACACGGATGGTGACGGCCGACTCACCAGCCTTGTCCCTGTCCGGGGGGCTGGCATGGCCCTGGGCAGCCACCATGGAGCTCAGGATGCGGTGGTGGCAGTTAGTCTCAATGCTGTCTACCACAGCCAGCAGGGCCTCCAGTGAGAGCAGGTGGGTGGTGAAAAGAGACCCCGAGACTGGGAAGGCATTCTGCCAGGAAAGGAAAAAGTGATCTGGTAAGAGAGACCATCCTGACTGGGAAAGTATTGAACTGGTAACACAAACTGCAGAGAGGTTACTAGTGGGTCCTGGGGAGAAAGCCACAGTTTGGCAAAGCAGCAAAGCTCTCTTCAATTCCACACACTTCACCAGGTGCGTTTACAAGCAGACTTAGGCATTTTTTCACCAGACATTTATGGAACGAGGCTTGTTGATACTTGGTGTTAAAGCAAACATGTATGTTATTTTGAGACACTACATGTGGATCAAATATTCATGCTGCGAATTCCCAACAGCTGAACACATTTCAAGTTGAGTGGATTTGACAAGTTTCATGGTGTCAAATTTGCTTTGCTTTTGCATTTGTCTGGAGTTTCAATAGCTCCTATAGACCACGCTTATGTCAGGTATGGGAGCTGTATCTTATCCCAAACTTGAGAAAGCCCAAAATACAGATGCTGAAAGAGGCCTTACACCAAAGATGTAGATCAATGCCATCCAAAGCTTCAACTTTCCTTCATGAAAATTGGGGGGGTACTAATTTTCAGTCTTAACGCTGTACTGAAAAAGTTTATGACAAAAGTTACAAGTTTAAAACAAATCCTTTCAGATTAGAAATGTTTAATACTTTAAGCATTACACCAACAATAAGCGTTATACCAGCACAAAGAAATTCACATTCACATGATATAGGAAAAAAATCAGGATGTTCAGGGCAGAGAACATTTAACTTCCTTCAATCTGTAGGTATTGAACAGAAATGCTGGGCCATTGGAGATTTCCTCTGGTCTCCAAGACTGACCTTGGACAGCAACTTGGTCAGATCTTCAAATAAATTACTGCAGTAGATGTCACAGTCATAGTTCAGATAGAGTTCTGTCACCATACAGGGGAGTCGCCACAGCTGTAAAAAAAAATTACAGGTTAAGGAATTATTCAAAGGTGCAAAGACTAGTCATAACCCCAAAAGTCTTCCTGAAACCTCCATCATCCTCAGTACTGAAGGAGTCCAATGCCGAATTCTTTGAATTTTATGTTTTGCAAGTGCATAAAACCCCGACAACGTAGCAGTAGGCTGTGCCTCCCCCAATCCAACAAAATCTTGCAAAATCACCTGTTGGAATTGGAAGGATCTAGGAGGGTTCACAGGGCTAAGCACATGGAATTACACGGCAAATGATTTCGGATATTTTGAAAATACTTTAAAACAGTGTAAACAATATCATTACAGACACTCTCATAATATCTTATTTATATGGAAACCCCCCCCTTCATCTTTTACATCAAATGCTTTTCTTTTTAAGAAATGAACAAATAACAGTTCAAAAACTTCAAAATCTTGTAACTAAAATCGTTCCAAATAACTTAAGATTTGACTGCTTATTGGAGGAGAGTAGCATCAACACAGTAGCTATCATCTTTACTAAAGGTCTTGGAAACAAGTTTGAAAAACCCCATCAATCATTGGAACTTCAGCAAATGTCAGTTCTCTCTACATGTAGTAAGTGTTGGGCTGCTACACCACCTCGTCAGACACCCTGCCCACCTGCACAATGGAGTCCAGTGCCATCTCACGCTGCTCGTAGGGAATGCGGACTGACTCTGAGATGATGATCTCCATCAGCTTGTGCAGGAACATCTCCAGCTGGAACTTGAGATGGGTCCTCATGGACTCAAAGAGCATGAAGCAGACACGCAAGGAGGCTGCGAAGAGCGACAGCCTGTCTGCCTGCAGGAGCTGTCGACAGGAAATGGCAAAATTAAGTGATTAGACAACTTGACATTCCAAGTATGACGGGGGTGCTAACAACACCTGCTACAGACAAACACGCATTCAGTGCATGTTTTCAGTGTCGGTAACCGTCAAAGGCTGATTACACATTTGGTTTTGTTTTCATTTTTAGTAGAAGTTTTCTTTTGAAACTTACAGCCAACAGGTTCTTGCACATGTCATCTTTGATGAGACTGAGCAGAGCAGAAAAATGAGAAATGTGATCGCATCCCGTCTCCAAGGCGATGGTCAAAAGGTTCAGACCCATGTGCATCATCAAGTCTGTGTTATGCCTGAGAGAAATGAAACACAACCTGTTTCTGAATTTGATCCCTTTTTATTAATGCAGTTAGCAGGATACATACAGAGCTGTTACAGCAAATTCTACGATTCCGCTTACTACGAGTGAGGAATCACTTTTAACAGCATTTTTCACGGATTAAGTTAAAAAAAAGGTTCATGTGCATGGATACATCTCATAAGAGGATCTTACAAAGCCAGGTCTGGCAGAGAATTCTGTGCAAGGTCTGCAGGCAAAATTGATACTGTGGTTAACAGAGCTTCAAAGTGGGCATAGCTCTAGTGCACAACCCATATCAAAACCTATCCAAAGGTTAACAGACCAAGTCAAAATCTTGGCTTTCCACTATGACAAGCCAAGCCATTTTCTCCGAGCTACTGTAACAAATTGATGCTCACAAAAGGAAAAAAAAATCAAAACAACCATGCGGCAAAGATACAAGTGGCAGCAACTTGCTGCTAAGCCTTTGGAATGTCTACATAGGTCTATTCCAAATCTACAGCACAGTTCACAATCGGCAATTACCAATGGTGCTGTGTAGTTTACAGTTTCACACTCGGACATTCTCTGGAGTCAAAGACATGTACAGTTACACCTACCTGTCATATGGATTGATGAGGGAGATGAGGAATCTCATCAACTCCCTGACACAAGGTAGCCCATAGGGTATAATGGGCCCCGAGCCTGTGGGGAACACACGCCAAAAACACTGAGTGTAGCAAAAAAGAGACTGTTTGAAATGAAACTTAAAAAAACATCTTTTGGTAAAAGCAAACACCGTGTGGGCAAATGTGAATTTGTGTGAAATATCTCAAACAAGCCTCTTCCCAAGTCAAGTTGACTCAAGTCATGTTTCGAGTGACTCAGGTCACAATCAACCACTGTCTCAAATGTGGACTCATTCTCGCTGCTGGTGACTCAAACAGCAAAACTCCTAATACTCGCATTTCATCAATACCATTGGAGGTGGTTTCTACCTAATCAATTTCTTGCATGCTATTTATAAAGACAATAGCTGTAAAAAGTGATGAAAACAAGCCTATTTTTAAATAGCCCAACCCCACTGATATCTATTTAGAGCTGTCCTTGGAGTAGCAATACTCATAACATCAGACTTGGACTGATGTGATTCATGACAGCGACTCAAAATTGACGTCACGACTCAAATGCAAAGCGCTGCCAAGCAGATATTGCTGAACAATTTTGGAGCCAAGCACAAAGCCAGTCACAATATGCACTGCAACTCTGGTATCCTTACCATCTTTATGCCTGTGGTGGGGTGTGAACCTGACCCCCTGGGGATTGACGTATTCAGAGTCTTGCATGGAGGCACTGTCAGAATGCTCTGTGATGGACTCAGTGTCTTCGGTACCATCCACTAAGGAATCGGATCGTTCCACATCAAGAATCTGGTCAGTCTCATCACCCTTCTGTTAGAAAGGAACATATTTCAATACTTCCACTTCTTTCATGATATATGTTTAAATAGCTGTAGCCTCTTGAGTGATCCTTGTTCACCACTTCCCAGGCTGTGTCATGTTATTGGGGTGTGATCCCTAGCCACATGGTGTTTCAGGTTTAATGGCTTCTGGCTAGCATCCCCCAAACAGAAGATATTGACAAATGGGAAGAGCCACCAACATAGGGCTGGATAGCTCAGTTGGACGAGCACTGGTACGGTATTCCAGATGTCGCAGGTTCAAATCCCACTCCAGTCAATTACTTTGTTCATCTTTATAATCATTCATAAGCACCTAGTCAGTTTCCCTATATAGTTTCTTTCATAATACCCCTCCAAAACAGGAGATCATCTTTCATCCAAGATCCCATGTCTGTTGAATTTCCATTGCTTGGCAACATTACACAGCGGGGCCACTTCACAGTGTGGAGTGGTCAAACTGTGAAGTCACGATCCTTGCCATCAATTTAAAGCATGTGTCATATCCATAACAGTCTGGCATGTGTGGACTCAATTGGGGTTAGATGTGTTAGAGTGAACAGCAAGCAAATTCTCATTTAGCCAAGAAACAGGAACTTGAATCCCTGACAACTTCTTTTAATAGAACCCATTTTTGCAGACAGAGAAACATACATGTACATGTATCGTTTCTGCTGAATGTACATGTACTGTACGGGTATGTATTACATGTACATTATATGACTTGAAAACAATTTTCAACAACCCTAGTATACTTGTCACTCTTCACTTTTGGAGTGTAAAGGTACCATATTTTGCAGAGCAGAGAAACACATTTTTAATTTGCATGTAATATGGAAAACAACAGCATAAAAAACCCGCGCACAATTGTTCATGCTGAACAGTACTTCCTTCTTGACTTACATTTATGCAGTTTTAATTTTAAAAAGCCTGAAAAATGCGAATGCTAAGTTAACATGTGGAAGCATTCATGTGGAAGCATTCATGTGGAAGCATTCATGTGGAAGCATTCATGTGGAAGCATTCATGTGGAAGCTAAGGGTGAAATGTGCTCATTTTTTTGAGTGAATTTACAGTAAAAGTGTTTGCTTTTCTGCCTTTGCAAACGTTTCCTGTTTGAAAATTACCATGAGTAACAACAAGAAACAAAAGCAATATTACAGCATTTAACACGCTATCGTTTAAAGGTGCCAATATATAATTAACAGTAACCCTGACCATCGGACTCACACTATTTGAACATTCTCGAAGCTGTCTCAGCTTCCTGGGTAGGATACAGTCCGATGCTGCCATTTCAGGTTCAAATGGCTGAATACAATAACCATATCTATGACTGTACCAAGTTACTTCTGGTTGGAGAGGGATACCTAGGGTTAAAGTGATTTTCCGAAAGTCATCTGCTAGGATTCAAACCCCTACCCCTATGATCACAATTTACTAACCCAAACCCCGAAGCCACATGTCCCTTTAAAATTAGGGAAGACAGCAGCTTGAGGGCCTCCCACCTTGTTCTCTGTAGGCTCCTCCTGCTGCTCTCCTTGCATGGAGATGACCTGACCTTGGGTTGGGGTGACGTCACTCTCTGAAGGGGTCACGGCTGAGAGCGAATCCTTCATGTCCACGCCACTGTCGAGGGATGGCGAAGGCGGCAGGGCCTGCTCGTCTGCCTCTGAGGGTACGTCCAGGGTTGACGGCAGATTGACCTGAGACTGGCTTGCTTCCGAGGAGGCAGTGGTCGCAGTGCCGGGGGTGACGGTTGTGACAGCAGACATGGTAGCGGATGCTGCTCCTGGAGATGTCGCTGTAACCGGTGCAGTCACTGTCGGGCCCAAGGCGTTGGTGTTGGATGTCGGCGGAGAAGCGGCCCCCCCTGATTGCATGGAGGGCTCGTCAGTTGGTGTGGTGGCAAGACGGTCCTTCTTGGCACGGACTTTGGGAGAGGGACGGGATTTGCGGCGGCGACTTCCGTCAGTTATGCCGCCTGGCCGCATTTTTAACTGCAAACAAGATGCTCTCAAAAATGAGCCTAAAGCTTTTGAATTATGTTGCGAAGAACATTAAAAACACTTGAAAAGAGTAGTCATATCAACATTGCTGCACTTTTATGGTATTCACATTTTATTTCTGTACAGTAACATAGACATCAGACCCTCCTGAGCAAACATACATGTACACCCTGGACAGAGCAGTCCTTTTAAAACCAGTAAAGTAACAGATGACATTTCTATGTGGTGAAGCAGAAGCAGCTTAAATTGTTTGACTGTCCATGACTGATCCAATTCAAAAAGGACATAAATGTTGCAATAGGGAGACAGTTAACATCGTTATTACCAAACGCAGTAACAATTCACATGCTCATCATCAAATTTACCGACTAGATAAAGAAAGTGAAACTGAAGAATGACTTTCTCATATCGACAAAGCAGACGAAGCAGACATCAGTGAAACTATGTGATGCTAAAACATCACGAGTACCTTTCTCATGCCCGAGAGTTTCTCCTCTTTGAACTGTGGCAATCTCGAGAAGAGCAGCTGCACCATATCAACCAGCGTGTGCTCTGCCGATCGGCGTAGAAGCTCTGAAAGGCAACCACAGTATGGAACTTGTTACTAATCTACCCGATGGGTGATCTTTGCTACAGCTCACTCAAAGTGCTTTGTAAACAGTACCTTTAAATTAAAATTAATTTTGCAATAGCAAAATGCGAAGGAAACTTGTGAAAATAACAGAACTCTCTTTCTAAATGTGGCGAATGTAAGCAGGCAAACAAAAAAATATATGTACAAGTTTTTAGATGTGAAAAAATTGTTGACAGGTGTTTCGTGAAGACAGGAAAGACCGGATTTGTTTCATTATTTTTTTTAAAAATTTTCAAATGTGTTTTTCTAACTTACTGATATGAATTTTACAGTCGTACCAAAACTTTAGGATCGGTCATGTAACCAGACACAAAACTATTTTTTTGGACTTAAAAGGTGTATTTAAATCCAGCCAGGCTGGCCAATCAGCTGTTTTGGTAGAGAAGTTAGACTGACGCAATTGGGCACGTGTGGTGGGCCTGATCGATTTCATTACATGAACTCAACCTAGGCCACCAAATTTTCATGAGGGCCAGTGTGGTGCACTTCCCCACTGGCCCTGCCGTGCACTTCCCCACTGGCCCTGTGGGCCACCAAAAGATTGAAGTTAATTTCGACCCCCGCAGATTCAACAGGGCCCTAATTTCACAAAGCAGAAAATATCGTTCCGTAAAGTTACTTTGGCCAGTGACCACAAGCCAGGCAAATATTCTCCTTTTCCAGGCAAATGTCTGAGCTTATCAGCTGTCATTAAGGTACTACAGGTTTGTGCACATTCTGGGGAAAATTCAAATTTCCTAAGCATTGGAAATACGGATTAATTATTGCCAGCTTTTTGGCCAAACTGCCATCAGCTACTGGTACATGTACATGTTTTGTGACTGATGTTCAGCCAATCTTTTCTATGCAGTAACAAAAATGTGAAGCATTGTTCCCCATTTAGCAGTCTTATGAAATTGGGCCTGGTGTATGTGCATATATGTTCACTGTGTCCTTCCCAAGTTTTTCGTAAGTACCTGGCCACAAGCCTTGATCTGTAATCCAGTACACACAAAACACTGGTAATAATGCATACAAGTGCTCTCATCAATAACAATCATGCTAACTGGCACTCACCACTTAGTCTCATCTCAAAGCAAATTCTGAAGCAAGACTGCATGATCTCACAGACAGACTCATTGGAGAGGTGTGCTCCAACAGGGGTCAGAAGTAAAGTCCTGAGAACCTGTGAAGCCAAGCAAATCAGACCCAAACGGGGAATCAGAAATGACATACATGTACAACAAAGCATGGAACCTTCATACAATGA